TTTGGTACTGGGGATCTAACTTGGGACCTTGTGTTTGCGAGGCAGGTGACAGAACCACTGAGCTAAATCCCTGGTCCCAACCTTAGCTTTTTAAGGGGTCTTCATACTGATTTCCATAGTGGCTGTATTAATTTACTCTCCATCCATGTCAGATGCACACACAGATGGTGGAACTATAATGAAAAACAAGCGTCAGCGTTACAGTTTCTATCTAGATGTCTCCCTGCCTCGAGTGCTGACAGGCAGGGACTTGGGGAGGTAGGTGAGCAGGTAATGGGATCCACAGCCCAGTGTGCTGTGAGGAGGGGCTGATGGGAGGGGCTTCTCTCCCTTCCCAGCTCCAGCCCTGGCTCTCTGGTTCCTCTCTGTGATGTGAGCCTCTCTCGTGCCTTGCTGTGTCCGGCCTTGGAGCCACCTGTCTTAGTTACTTTTCTCATTGCTGAGAAAAAGTATTCAACACTCAAAGATAAAAGAAGAAAGGTTTGTTGTAGCTCACAGTTTGTAGAGGTTTCACTTCATAGTTGGCTGGCTACAAAGCAGGGTGGCACGGCAGGGGGCGTCACAGAGGGAAACCGTTTATGGTGGGTAGAAGACAGCAAAGGCGAAAAAGGGCCCAAGGAGAGGTAACAGTAGCAGCTTCTTTCTGCCCCTTTCATAGTCTATCTAAGCCATCAGCTTGGGGCGCGCCAAACCAGTCAGTGGACTAATTTAGTAATCACACACCCTTAAACCTAGCGTCACACACTCTAGATCCAGCCACCTCTGGAAAAGCCCCACTGTGACTGTGTCTGGTTTGGGGGACACTAGACACAGCCATGACACTACCTAACTGTGGGCTGAAAGCCAAGCCAAAACAAACCTCTCCTGGTTTAAGTTTCGGTGGTCAGGTGCTGTATCTCAGCGACAAGCACGATGGCTAAGACAGCAAGGAAGTCAGGCTAGTGCAGGGGGAAGCTGCCTAACTAGCGACACATGAGCAGCTCTGGGCTTTGATGGTGATCTATTGAGTGACCTGTGAAAAGTAAGGCGAATATTTTATAATTGTGTATTGTACATTTATATTTTCTTTGCTTTTCGGTATGTCTGTTTCACACAGTGTGGAAAGAATCTGTGACCCTTTGAACAAACCATGGCCTGTAAAGCAAATCATTAATAAAATTATTCCCTAATGGACCGTGAGGTGGCTAATTTATCTCTGAACGCTAGACCTTTGGACCCAGCTGGCTCTGCTGTAACCAGGAAAGGCTTCTCTCCAGATGTGTCAGATACACGGCTCTGGCCACTGGGGAGTGTGTTGCAGGGTGGAGGGAAGGTTTTCCCTGTCTGCCAGCCCACTGTGTGTGAACAAGCGAGCTGGTGTGAGCTGGTGCGGACGAGAGCAGTGTGTTCGGAAAGCAGGACCTGTTTCAGAGGGACACGGAAATGTGAGCCCGGGTCCCCAGGGACGGCTGCCTAACCAGCCGTGGCATAGGAATAAAATCCGAGATGTGCCTGAGTTGCTCATTCTCGTCTTTGTTTCCAAATCTATTAAAGTTAAATTAAAAACCAAAGTAGATGGATGTGAAAGTGGCTGCCTTCAGCAGGGCGTTCTGTCAATTTTTATCACTGCCCTAGGAAGGATGCTGTGGCTTCACCGGATGGAGAGAAATGTCCAGGCACACGTTCCCGGACACTGGGCCAAACGGCAGCAAGCATCCTCTTTGGAATACACAGAGAGCAGTGTCTTACACTGTGCTTGAAAACATGCTCTCATTATATACAGATCCACACTGACAAAGAGCCTCAGCCCCTGCCTGACCCGCATCTACACGGGCAGACTCGACACGGAGAAGGGGGACTGATGGAGCCTGCAGGGTTCAAGTTTCTATGAGACTCTCAGACTGCTGCATCCCAGACCCCAAGTACCCTGGCCCTCTTGGAGCTGCAGTGCAGTGGGGCAGAATAAGTTAAACCATCCAAATACAGTGGCACCTCCTCCGTTCACATCCTTGTTTTCTTTGATTCTGATCACAAGCCAGATTGGATGAGAACTGAATCAAAGTTCCCTACAAGCTCAAGACTGAACCTAGCCACTGGCTGTGACTTCGTGGTGAGGGCCACTGGAAGACAGCGGTGGTGCGCGGGGGGGGGGCAGGGTGGAGATTTCCAGCAGAGCAGGAGCGGAAGGGGCCGTGGGAGGTGAGGGTTTCTGGGGTGAAGGGATTTCAGCAGGTGGAACAGGAAGTGGAGGCCCTGAGAGGAAGGTGCTCCGCTAGCTCTGGGAGGCTGGGAGGAGCCGAGGGCCGCTGGCGCAGGGGCCGCCTGGCCGGCTGGATGCAGAGGACACTCATGTGGGCGTGCGATGCAAGCCCATGGGAGCGTGGCACGGTGGCTCGGCTGGGGAGGACTTCCCGACATGACTGTAAGGTGTGCGGGTAGACATCTCCTAGGTGGCAGCAATCCGGTGAGGACCGCGGTGGCTCAGGCGGGGACAGCGAAGACAGGTTTTCAGATGCTGTGGTGCGCAGGGCACCTTGTGTGGATCTGGAATGAGTCTTTGGATTCAGCCTGGGACGGCAGGGGAAGCGGCTGCCATTCTCTGAGCTGGGCAGGCGTGGGGCAAGAGCAGAAATTCCCTCCCAGCTAATGTAGTTTGAGATGCCTGTGAAATGCAGCAAGGCCACCAGGTGGACTGAGGAGAGGCCTGGCTGGGGGATACACACGCAGGGCTCAGCTGACAGCCCAGGCAAAGGGACATCATGGTCCTCCACTTCAGGAAGGAGCAGACATCTTCAAGCCTCCTGTCTACCTGAGGGAAGATGTTTCCAGGCATGCTGGTGTCCTGCCCGACAACACTGGAATAAACGAGGGAGCACAGAAGAACACAGGCTGCAGGGGAGAGAGGCCTCGGAAGTGGGGGGTATCAGAGAGTCTTGGAAGTTAGCCTCAGTTAGGTTACTGGAGGCTCAGGAGAGGATGATCGCCTTCCCTTCCTGGAGGGGAGCTGACTTGGATCTGCCAGGCTCAGGGCCTCCCAGTTGGACAGCAGGCTGGGTAGGGATGGAAGCACCTTCTTGGTTCTCTGATTCCTTTCTTTATGGAGCCGAGCTTTCTGCCCAGGGCCTACACTGGGCTCCACAGCACGGGGCTGGGAAGCTGTAACCAGTAGCACCTGTTATTGAGAACCGACTCCTGTACTGCGCTGAGAGCAAAGCACGTTGTATCACAGTGCTGGGTCGCCTGGGGCAGAGAATGAGTGCAACGCAGGCACAGGGGGCCCAGCTCAGTGCCTTACCTCACAGTGGTGATGCAGGCCAGAACCTTCCACCCCAGGGCCACCGTGTTAGCCAGCTTGGCTCTCACCCCTGGACACTAAGCACCATGCTCATCCCAGCCACCGCCACTGCCACCACCACTGCCACCGCCGCACTGGGCCAAGGGGCAAGGTCAGGTCTGCTTTCTGGGACACCTGTGGGCCTCGCCAACAAGAGGCTGCTTGTTCCTGCTGCCTCCTGGGGCCTCTGCGGGGCTGGGGCTGTGTGTTGCCGTCGCAGGGCTGACTCGGATGTCAGGGCTGTGGACCCCGGGACAAGGGAGCTCATTCAGGGAACAGGGAGGTAGTGTCTGGTGTGCTTAGCACGCAGCGCGGGAGGAAGGAGGGGAGGTGGAAGATGGAGCCGTGTCGCTTACGGGCGAGATGGTGGCTGGGCCCAAACCTTTCCTTTCCAGGACACCAAAGAAACCACTGTGAGCAGCCCTGAGAGACGGCAGAGCTGAGCTCAGAGGGCGTTTCCACAGAAGCGGAGCCCTGAATCCCGACCTAACGAGATAAGGGCTGGGCCTGGTGTGTCCGGCTGGCCAAGGTGGCGCAGCAGCTGCTCATGCCAGCCCAGGCGGTGCTGGCGGGAGCCTGGCTCCATCGTGCTCCCTCGGAGCAGCGAGTCACTTTCCCAGCATGCGAATGCAGTGGCAGGGGCAGGGGCAAGGGCTGCCTGGGGTCAGGTGGGCCCTGAAACGGAGGCCTTGGGGACAGGTTCCAAACAGATCCTGGCATGGGAAATACAGTGGGTGAAGGAAAAATTCACTGAATGTTCGAATTTGTGAAAAAAGTTTTAGAGTAAAAGACATTGCCAAGAGCAATGAGGTGAGTTTGTCTGAAGCAAGGGCGGAGTAGGGGGATTCATGGCGATGTCTTACCGTTACGATTTTGTAATTTAAACATTCACTGTGTTTTGATCAACTCTGATGGATATTTATGATAATTTCTGGAAAAACACAACAATGTATCCTTGTCCCCTTACTCACTGGGCCTGGCACTGTGTGATATCTGGCTCTTCCCCAAAGTCAAAAGACTGTGAGAGGTCAATGTTTTAATCCATTCAGGACATGGAGGCAGCACGACAGTGCAACTGAAGGCGCTGAGGAAAGAGGACTCCAGAGCTGCTGCAGAAAGTGGCAGAAACCATGGGGTGAATGTGTTCAAAGAGAGGGGAAGACCCTGAGGGAGACTCATGGCAATGTGTCTTTTGCTCTAATAATTTTTTTCAAATTTAAACATACTCTGTATTTTTCGATCACACTCATATTTGCGTTCTTTGACATTCCCTTACCTGGTGTAGGAAATGGGGCTCAGAAAGAGCAGGCGAAATGAGGTTTGTGCTACAGAACCTGGTGGCACGGAGCCACTGACAGGAATTTCAGCATCCACCTCACAGGCCCTGGGGGCTGGGATACATGCCAAGGAGCCCCTGGCTGGAAAATGGTGTCTGGGTGAATTAACATAACACGAGATTTCCCTGTAAAGGTTAACTTTCTGGAACAGCTTCGCAGAGAGTGCCATGACAGGCATTTGGTAGTTAAAACGCACCCTGTGAGCGCTCACGGTCGGCCTGGCCAGGAGCAGCACTGGGGCCTCCCGAGTCAGGGCCTCTTCCCGGGAAGCCCTGGGGGGGCCCTTTGCCACTTCCTTGCTCAGCAAGGCTCAAGGGTGCAATTAACAATTTCCACGACTTGGGCTGCAGAGGCTTCGAGTTCCAAGAGGGTAACCAAGGAGGAAAGAAAGGGAGAGGCCGGTGCTTCAGAAGGTACACTCTTCAAAGGAGCAGGAAGAGTCCACCCACAGGAAGGGGGCAGAAATGTGACACCTTCCCGTGAAGGCACAGGGAGACCCCAAACTGCCAAAGCCCCGCCCTGCTGGGACCGAAGCTTCCCAAACCTCTGAATGGCTTGTTGGTTCTGTGGGGCTCAGCGGAGCAAGGAGACGGAGGTGAGTGCATGCGTGAGTGTATACGTGAGTGCTTGTGTGTGAGAGGCGGCGGGGGGGGGGCTCTCACTTTTAAATCCAGGCCGAGATTCCCTTCTTGGTGTGTATACCGCAGTCAGCGGAGAAGTCGGCCTCAAGGCGCTTGCTGTGCCCTAAGCCCCACACAGAGGATGAATTTCCTCTCCTGCTGTAACTCGAGCTTCCTGGGCTCCCGGTCCAGCAGGATTTTATCAATGGTAACAGCAGAAATGTCACGGCCCCCGCCCCAGCCCTGGCCCACAAACCCCACCTCCACCAGCCTTCCTGTGCTGGACGCGTCCCAGCCGGACCGCACGAGGGAGAGGGAACAGCCTTCCTGAGCTCTTGTGTTCCGGCCGGGCCCTGGCTCCAGCAGTCATCTTGAGGCCCGGGCGCTCGGAGGGCTGCCTTTGTCCAGTGACCCTAACCAGTAGCCTAGAGGGTGCCAGGCAGCGGCTGGCTGCACTTTCTGGAGTCCCCCTGGGCTGCGGCCGCCTCATCGCCCCGTCTGTCACCGTCACCTCTTCGGTGACCGGGTTATACACAGGCTGTGGACGCATGTCACGTCCTCGGTCCCCTGCCTGTGGCCTATCTTCCTGAAGATGTGAACTTCCGGAGGCCGGGTAGGAGGGTCCGTGCTGCGCCCTTTGGGGCTGGAAGCCGGCAGGGATTCCGGCAGACTTCTGGGCCCTGCCCCACACTTCCTGGCTTAGCAAACCTGAGATCCCCTGGCTCTGCCTTTGCACTTTTAGCCACGGGGGCGATGCCATTGCAGAACTTTGAGAACCACCATTCTGGACTGTGTCTTACAGCTTCTGCCCACCAACAGGTCAGAAATAACAGACAGGAGCAGGCCCTAGCAGAGGTCCCAACTGATGTCCGAGCTGTTGCCTCTGTTAGCATCGCAGCCGATGAAAGCACAGCTTTCCTGTGTGTTGCTTTCGAAGCAGACGTCACTTGCTCGCATTCAGGCAATGTAGGTGTCCACTCAGGAACTTCAAACTTGCAAACCCCTTATGTGTGAACGGTGACCGATGCCATGCTAGGAGACTGGGTCTCCCGTCAGTGCTGAAGAACGACCATGAGGGAGCTGCAGGGGTCATTAGATTCGGGGAGTAGGAAAGTTTCTTTCTTTGGTGGACTGGCAGCTACTGCTAAAGCTACTAGAGGGTGGGGTAAGAGGGACTGAGTCAGGAGGAAATGGGGGCAGGCGCTACTTGGTACCTTCTATGTCCGCCTTTTGAGGGACAAACTGAGGACACAGTTCCGCCGTAGGTTCCCTCGCTTCCCTTCTGCACCCTCCCCACAGGAACAGGTGCTTTGGAAACATCCCCAGTGCTGGTGCTGTTGCTTCTGTACCCTCAGACCTTCAGCCCTGTTCCCTCCTTCGGTCCCCGATGTTCAGACCCCTTCCAGGAAAAGCAGCTCACAGCCATCCTGAGGCCGCTCCCCTTCAGCTGACCCTGTCTCTACCACCAGACTGAGTCTGACATTCAGGGCTCCTTGCGTCTGATGTCCCGAACTGTCCAGTGGCCTCAGCTAGGGTCCTGCTCCATGCTCTAGCTCCTCCCCTCTGTCTTCCGTCCTCTGGCAGGGGGGCAGGCGGATGTGTCCAGCGGCAGCGGGAGCCCCAGCCCCAAATCCAGGCTGGGCCTGAGGTCCCTGTGCTCCTGGTAGAGGGGCCTCTGTCTGCTCACGCTCCGTCGCACAATCCCCCCTTTTGGGTCTGAGGACAATTCCTCAAGAGCAAGAGTGCTGCTGGCGTCTTCTCCATTTTCCTCGACTTTCCTAGCCCATCCCGGGCTCACAGATGCCCTGATTACGGGAGTCACCTCTGCAAGCCACAACATGCATCTCGCTCGCCAGTTTCACCTGGGTGTGGCTCTTCCGAGACTATCGGGTAGCCTGAGCCTGTCCTCCAGGCCGGCGCTTGGTCAGGGCCCTCACGCGCACCACACTAATCCTCTCCAAGAGCCTTCGAGGCCTGCATGATCACGAAAGTCGCTTGCAGGTGCCAGGACCAGGCAGGGAAGAGCCGAGACCCCCACTTCCTGACTCAGTGCTCACTCGTTTCCCCTGCCTGCTGCATTGGAGCCATCGCGTCGGTGCAAAGCATGCGCACTCCTCTTCACACCGTGACACACGCATTTCACACTGGGAGTGTTCTTGGGGAAGCGATTTCCCATGGGACCAAAAGGCCACCAGCGCTTCTCCTTGAGGAAGGAACCCTGTGCGACCAGAGACCGTTACCCTACTCCATTAACTCCACGTTTGTCTCCGATGAGTGTTTGCAGTAACACACATCTGGTGACCTTAGAACTGAAGGTCCCAGGGGGAAACTTGCTCCCAGGAATGACTCTTTTGTGTTAGGTTACTTCTAGAACATAAGCAGTAAGCCAGCTACTGTGGTGAAGTAGAAATCTCTCTTCCGAGCTCAAGTGCTCTGATTTGGAAGAACTAACTCATTACTGTATCGGTAATTAAGCAGCAAGAGAGAGACTTTTCCCTCCTGCTTTCTGCTCAGTGGCACCGAATCATGCAGCAGTGCTTGCATGGAGATAAAATTCCTGCTGTGAGGCCCGGGGACATGTGGCCACCACCTGCAGCAGAATCAGCCCCTGTGCTGTTGGGACAAGGGTGTGTGTTAAAGGCTAAAGCCACCTTTACAGGGGGAGGGGACAGGGTGGCAGTGGGCAGGGCTGGGGGCTCCACACAGCGGACTCCAGGTTGGACCTCGGGGATTCGGGGCACCGAGCAGTGTTGGGATGGCAGTGTGTCTAGAGGAGCCCGTTTCATACAGGTTCAGAAGGAGCCAGTGGCTGGCGCACCCAGTGTCTCCTCCAGGCAGCCACAGCCCGGCAGCTGTGAGGCTTCAGGAAGGCAACCTTAGTGAGCAGGTGCTGATTCCTTGGAGCCCAGCTGGAGTAGCAGAAGTCCGCAGTGCCTGCTCGCACTCTTGGCCACGGACAGCTCCAGGGTCCTCCTTTCTCTCTGGCTCTTCCCCAGGCCACTGCGACTCATCTGCCTTTTCCTGGGGTGGCCAGGTAACTCCCACGCAATAAACGGAAAAGACCTCAACTGTGGAGCAGTGGAGCTGTTAAGAGTGAGCCAATAATAAGGTGAGAGCTGTCCTCTGGGAGGTAATAATGACAAGTAGAACCACAGCTACCCGTCTTCACGTGCTCTCCTGCTGTGCGTCTTTTGGCCCGTTAGCCCTCATGCCAGGCTTCCAAAGCAAGCACTAATCAATCCCACTTAACAGGTGAGGAGATTGAGGCCGAAGGGCACAGGCTACTTGCCTGAGGGCGCAGATGTGAGCAGAGCTGGCAAGCGGCAAAGCATCAGAATCTGGAGCACAAAGGCTGCTCCTGGAAGAGCTGCCCTCTGCTCACCCAGGAAGGGCCAGGCCAGCCTTTGATGAGCACGCCCGGGGTCTGCTGCCTGTGCCTCACTTGGGCTTCTCCTTCCGGTGCCCAGGTGTGCCAGCAGACAGCATGTGCTGCCCTCTCACACCCACAGAAGGCTCACGGCTCAGTCAATGCTGCTGGCTGCTTTTTATGCCAGAACTGCTCTCTCCTCCTCCGGATGCTAAACAGTCCCCAAAGCCTCTCTGTGTGAACTGTGCTGGTTTCCATGGCAATAGCAACATGAAAGTAGTACCTATCTTGTCCTCAGAGAGCTGGGCGGGGACCCCCATGCAGGCAGGACCCGAGAACCACACCCGGACCCTGTCCCTCTCCTTGCTTCTCCCTACAAGAAGGGCACTGGAGTCGGGTTGGTCTGCTTCCGGTACGTTTCTGGGGTTACTCTTAGGGTGGGCAGCAGACTTTGCTCAGTGAGAGGCTGTGCCCTCCCTCGCTGCTGCTGCGAGTGGTGTGACTGGTGACCTGCATCAAGGCCCCGCTGGTCACTGAGTCCCTTTCCCTTGGTTGGTCTTTTTGTGTATGTAAGGCTTCCTGGTCCTTTGCTTGAGTTCCCATTCCATGTAATGAAATCGAAAATGAGATTCCAAGGTCTAGACTCTGGCTTGGAGTGGAAGGCTAAACTGTGGGTTTTAATCCAGCTTTACAAAAGCTCTGAGTTGGGAGTAGTGGTCACCGATGCAGCCATAAACTGGGGCTTGGTTCTCATAAACTTCACTTGGGAACTTGGTTGGGAAAGAGCGACTGGCAAGGAGTTTTAGGGCTGTGGCTCTAACGCCATGAACTTCTACCCAAACTGACCCTGCTACCTGATGCGACGCAGCGGCTAAATCACGGAGGTCGCAGCGTAGGGCAGGACCCTGGAGAAGGACCCTGCACGCCTCAGGGCATGGGCAGCACTGTGGCAGTCTTTTTCTTTTTATTGGTACATTTGAGGTGTGTAACGAGCTCCTTCCTTGTGGGGAGTTGGTATGTGGACATAACATCTTTTGGTCCCCTTCCTATTTGCAAAAGATCTATCTCCCTGTTTCCTATTTGTCTTTTACTTTGCTCTTTTTCATGCTTTGGGTTTCTCATGTAAGAGAAACCATGTGATGTTTATGCTTGTGGGCCTGACTGTGCTTTTTCAGGTTTTTCTCCCAATACCAGTTGAAGAAATGGTCTAGGAATATAAAAAAACCATGGCCAGCCAAGCCATGCACGCGGTAGATTTGAGTAAGCCACCTGGTCAGGTTTGAGAAGAAGCTGAAACCTGGCTAAGCAAGGCCACAGCTCTGACCAGGCCAGCAGCGGGACAAGGGTGCCCTGCTCATTCATCTGTGTGGAATTGGATGCCAGGCCAGTTGTTTGCTGATACTCTGCCCGGTGGTGATACTTAGAGCCTACTGAGCTAAAGCCCCTTCTCAGGTGCCTATTAGAGAAGGCAACAGACTATGGAGTTTTGTACCCCAAAACAAGTCCAGATGTATTTTATAAAGTCAGGGTCACATCGATTCACTCTCTAAATCTATATTCCAAATAGCAGTATGCCTGTGCTCTCCAGACTCTTATTAATGCACTTGT